ACCACTCAATCAGTGGTCAGCACCACTGAGCATAGTGTGACACAGGCAGGCCATGTAACAAATGTGTCACGAAGTACTAGCTGGACCTCTGCATACATGTACACTGACAGTGCTGTGGTACCCAATGCAGGTACTGGCTCTTCAACTGGGACTAATGAGTAATGGTGAAGTGCAGTCCAGTGATGGTAATGATCATGTAATGGTAACACCGTCAACAGAATGGATGCAACCAATGCCTACAATCAATGGTGCTGTTCAACAGCTGAGCCCCAGTATACAGGCCATAAGTCTGAACAATGGAAATAATGTCTATGGGAATCAAGTGACACATCAATCGTCAGTGATCAACTTGCTGGAGTGGGTCACAAGGGAAGCTGAGTACAGAGCACTGGCAAGTGAGACCAGACAAGGTGTGAGCAAACCAAAACCACAGATGCCTCAGCAAGCAACAATGCGGCCTCAGACACCACCACGACAACATCTCAACAGGTGCGAGCCTCGACCAACCACAACACATTCCAGAACGTGTGTAGTAACGAACTCCACCAACAGACGGTGTTGGCCAGCATGCAATGACGACAAGCACAACGTTTGGGAGTGTGCAACGTTTAAAGAGATGAGCATCGCACAACGCTCGGTAATAGCGAAGAACGAAAGGTTATGTTATGGGTGCCTGAACAAAGGCCACATGGTGACGCAATGTCAATGGCAGATCACGGGCAACAGAGATGGATGCAAGGAAGTACACCATCAAATGCTCCATGCTGATTCAACTAGCACTACCGCCTCAGAACCAGCACAGCCCGTGCCGAAGCACACAACTTGGAAACCCAAGCCAACACCCAGACGTCGTCGGAACAATCCAACAGTTGGCCTCACAGTCACATCGCACGATCCATGTGAAGAGGTGGCAAACTCCATGGAAGGGGAGCAAGATGCTTTCACAGTAGCCCATGCAATCAGTACAACGATTGGGTTGCGAACTGTGCCAGTAATACTCAAGAATGGAATCAAAGAAATGCAAGTGAATGCCTTGCTTGATGATGGTAGTACTGGTACATTTCTCAACAGCAGCATGGCTTCGGAACTCGGGTGAAATGGTCCTCCAGACATATTGACAATCAACATGCAATCAACATGCTCAATGGTCAGCAATCCTCCTTCCCATCCATGCCAGTGAGGGTATCGATCAAAAGTTTGAATGGCAATGTTGAGGCCACAATAATGGCACAGACAGTGGACAATGTCGTAGGGCAAATGCCTATTGTCGACTGGAACCGCCACACTCACAGATGGAAGCACCTGCAGGGAGTCCAATTCCACATCATCAACCATAAGAAGCCGGTTGATCTTCTGATCGGCCTGGACAACGCACCGTATCACGTGGCAAAAGTAGAAATAATAGGCAACGAAGGAGAACCCATTGCTCGCCTAACAAAGCTTGGATGGACGTGCGTTGGCAATTCGAACCCAGGGACAACACCACGAATGAACACTGGCCAATCCTACCTGATCAACGGCATCCGAGCATCGAGCAATCCAGACCATGAACTAAACGACTTAGTATGGAGGCTCTGGGAAATCCAAGAGGTGATCCCTGCCAATGCCCAACAGCTGGATGACGATGAACGGCAAGCCGTAACATCAGTACAGCAATCAATCAAGTCACCGTGATACAGATGGGAAATACACGCACGGTAACATGGAAGTCTGACCCGGCAAAGCTACAGAGCAGCTACAACATGGCCTTAAGCGACTAGGTCCCACCGAGAAACGCTTGCTGAATGTCTGCAACACAGTACAGCAACACAATCAATCGCTACCGAAAACTTGGATATATCTCAGAAGTATAACCGGACGACAAGCAAACCGGATGGTATCTGCCGCACTTCCCAATTAAACAAATGGGCCGGGAAGCGACGAAAGTGAGAATTGTATTTGATGCTGCAGCACAAGTCTCAGGAGTATCACTAAACAGTGCCATCAGTCCCGCAACCAAGTTTCAACGCAACTTAACAGAGGTACTTCTACGGTTTCGGAAGGAACCTGTGGCAGTGGTCTGTGATATTGCAGGAAGGTGTCTACAGATTGCCATTCCAGAGACGGATCGAGCATATCACCGATTCCTATGGCGAGAACCAGGATCAACACAACCGCTGACGGTATACGAATTCAACTGAGTGGTCTTTGTCAGCACCTCCATTTCTCGCCCAGTACGTAACACAAGAGCATGCCAGGCAATGTGCTGATGATCTACCACTGGCTTCCGCAGCAGTTTTGAATTCAAACTACATGGATAATACCATGACTTCAGCCAGTGATGATGAAGGCAAGTTACTACACTCCCAACTATCAATATTGTGGTCATCTGCCGGAATGCACCCACGGAAATGGCTCACCAACTCCGTTACCGTCTTGGCTCAAGTTTTCCAAGAAGACAGAGCTTCTCAATTGGAACTTAACTCGGAGCAGTTACCAGCAGTGAAAACGCTTGGAATACTCTGGGAGGCAAAGCAAGATGAGTTCACCTTCAAGGTTTCAGAGACAGAGGAGCAAGCTATGACCAAACGTCTGTTCCTTCGGAAAATCTCTAAGCTCTTTGACCCACTGGGCTTCCTCACTCCATTTGTGGTGCGAGCCAAAATGCTATTTCAACAGATGTGGCTCGACATGTATGACTGGGATGATCCCCTACCAGCTAATGTAGTTGCAACAGCCCAGCAGTGGTTTCGGGAACTGCCAGCGCTAACCGCAGTTCGGATTCCGTGGTGCACCCAACAAGCATCATCCAAGTAGGCACTGAGTACACACAATGAGTGCACACACTGAGTACACACACTGAGTACACACACTGAGTACACACACCTTTTGAGAGGACATTCCTTGATGTCCGGGTTTTCAACCCATTTGCCCCCTCAAACCAGAAGTCATCAATCCCGATAGTGTACCACAAGCACGAAAAGGAAAAGAGAAGAAGTTATGAGAGAAGAGTCGTTGAGGTAGAGCACGGATCATTCATCCTGGTCATGCTCAACACCACAGGTGGTCATGGCAAGGCAGCTGGCAATCTCTACGCGCGGATTGCATCCATGTTGGCCGATAAGAGGTCCGAGCCTTTATCGTCGTGGCATACATCCGCACTCAACTGTCTTTTGCGCTGGTCAATGCCGCAGTCACAGTCCTGAGAGGTCATCGGCACAAAGCGTCAAGAATCAACGGCTGCCCTTCGATCACGTTAGCAGTGGCAGAATGCAGCATGTAATGGTCAATCCTTGACTTAGTTTGGTAATCTTTTTAGTACCTCGACCCCCGTGCTGAGTTTGATATGGTTTCTGGTATCTTGGCCGTAGACTACTACGCATACTGCTTCTAGCGGTTTCTTTGGATTTTACTGATTGATTACTAGTACTAGAAAAGGGTTTGCTCCCCACACCGGAGTTCGCGCTATTCGGTGTGTGGAGCAAACCCTTTCTTACAAATCATGGCCGAAGTCGCAACCACTACTTTGATTACTAGTACTGTTTACTGTATTTATTTCACCATGGCTGGTTAAGGCTGGTTAAAATCACCCGCATCACATGCTTATTGGCACTATGTCATTTTGATTGTGAAATAATAATAATAACAATTTAAAATACACACACTGAGTACACACACTGAGTACACACACTGAGTACATACACTGAGTACATACACTGAGTACACACACTGAGTACACACACTGAGTACATACACTGAGTACACACACTGAGTACATACACTGAGTAGACACACTGAGTACACACACTGAGTACACACACTGAGTACATACACTGAGTACACACACTGAGTACACACACTGAGTACACACACTGAGTACATACACTGAGTACACACACTGAGTACGTACACTGAGTACACACACTGAGTACACACACTGAGTACACACACTGAGTACACACACTGAGTACACACACTGAGTACATACACTGAGTACACACACTGAGTACATACACTGAGTACACACACTGAGTACACACACTGAGTACACACACTGAGTACACACACTGAGTACACACACTGAGTACACACACTGAGTACACACACTGAGTACACACACTGAGTACATACACTGAGTACACACACTGAGTACATACACTGAGTACACACACTGAGTACATACACTGAGTACACACACTGAGTACACACACTGAGTACATACACTGAGTACACACACTGAGTACACACACTGAGTACACACACTGAGTACACACACTGAGTACACACACTGAGTACACACACTGAGTACACACACTGAGTACACACACTGAGTACACACACTGAGTACACACACTGAGTACACACACTGAGTACATACACTGAGTACACACACTGAGTACATACACTGAGTACACACACTGAGTACACACACTGAGTACACACACTGAGTACACACACTGAGTACACACACTGAGTACACACACTGAGTACACACACTGAGTACATACACTGAGTACACACACTGAGTACATACACTGAGTACACACACTGAGTACATACACTGAGTACACACACTGAGTACACACACTGAGTACACACACTGAGTACACACACTGAGTACATACACTGAGTACACACACTGAGTACATACACTGAGTACATACACTGAGTACATACACTGAGTACATACACTGAGTACACACACTGAGTACACACACTGAGTACACACACTGAGTACACACACACTGAGTACACACACTGAGTACATACACTGAGTACATACACTGAGTACACACACTGAGTACACACACCGAGTACACACACTGAGTACTGAGTACACACACTGAGTACACACACTGAGTACATACACTGAGTACACGCACTGAGTACACACACTGAGTACATACACTGACTACATAGGTGCATATCTTCGCCGATGTCTCACAGGATGCCTAAGGAGCAGTAGCATACTGTACTATCGAGTGATGAACAGAGACGAGACAGTGTCATGCCGACCCATAATGTCAAGGAGCAGAGTCGCGCCAACCACCGCCACCAGCATTCCAAGATTGGAGTTCCTCGCCGCAGTAGCTGGTGTAGACCTAGTGAAACCAATCATCAAAGCACTCAGTCACTCCACATCAGTCGTCTTCTGGACCGACAGCCAGGACGTCCTACATTGGATACGTGGAGCAAGTCGAAAACTGAAGACCTTCGTGGGAAATCGTGTTGCGTACATTCAGGAATCCACCCATCCATCACAGTGGCGTTATGTACCCACTGCAGAAAATCCAGCAGATCATTTGACACGGGGACACTCAGCCAAATTCCTGGCACAAAACTCGCAATGGTGGGAAGCACCGAGTTTCCTTCAGCTGATGGAGTCTGAGTGGCCGGCAACAGTTCTACCCGGGAAGAGCAGCACTGCAGTTGACCAAGAGACACGGAAGTCGACCAAATTCGATTCAGCAGCAATACGATGTGTGAAGAAGCAGACTGACACTGAGACAGCTAAGTCAGCAGCTAATGCACAAGCCCAGTCAGTTGTGCTAGCAACGCAAAAATCAGCGGAGAACAACAGCAGTGGTTGGCAACTTGATCCCAGTCGTTTCTCTAAATGGCTAGTATTGGTCCGACAGGCGGCATGGGTTATTCGTTTTGCGAACAATTGTCGCACTCCAGCAGCAGTGAGAGTTATGACTGGTCTAACAACGGACACGGGGAAATAGTAGACGCTGAGAAGACAGTCATTAAAAGCTGTTTAAATGGAGGCATTTCCAGCAGAGTACGAGTTAGTCCGGAAAGGAAAAGCGGTCCCAACAGGGAGCAAGTTGGCGGGTCTCTCCCCATTCCTGGACGAATTGGGCATTCTAGGAATACGAGGACGCCTACAAAATGCGCAATTCCTGTCGTATGATGCTCAACATCCAATGATCATGGATCGGAACGGACATGCCATGCAACTTCTAGTCCGACATTATCACGGGAAGGCAGGACACAGCAGTGGCGTCAAGGAAACCACGACACAACTGCAGGAACGTTTCTGGGTTATAGCAGCAAGAGAGGTGATCCCGGCCACGAGGTAGAGGCAGCCTGCAATTATTGTAAGCGAAAGAAAGCTAGGCCAGCAACACAAGTGATGGCACCACTGCCGAAGAGCCGACTGTCAGAACCGTTAGAAGCCTTCGCAAGAACATCTGTTGACTACGCTGGCGCCTTCGAGACAAAGCAAGGTCGTGGTCAGCGCCGTGCTAAGCGGTATCTCTGTCTGTTCACGTGTATGACCAGTCGTGCAGTGCATCTAGAAATGGCTACTTCGCTATCAACAGACTGCTTCCTGAACGCATTCGAGCGTTTCTGCAGCAGAAGAGGAGTGCCAACACATGTGCGGTCGGACAATGGTACGAATTTCGTCGGTGCACAGCGGGAACTACAAGAGTTGATCAACCAGTTTGACGAAGAGAAAATCGCTCTGAAAGCAGCCAACAATGGTATCCACTGGTCCTTCAATCCTCCACTTGCACCACATTTTGGAGGTGTTCACGAAGCTATGGTAAAATCGGCAAAACGAGCCCTTCGTGCCGTCCTCCAGAATGCAGATGTGACAGATGATGAATTCCAGACAGCGTTTGTCGGAGTAGAAGGTTTGCTCAACTCTCGTCCACTCTCGTACGTGTCGTCTGATCCACGTGACGACATCCCACTGACACCAAACCACTTCCTCATAGGCATGGCTGGTGGAAGCTTTGCCCCAGATGTGGATGCGTATGATTTCAGCCCCACTCGTTTGCTTTAGCATTTTATCGCTCCACAGGTACCCTCAGTCTCAGGTACTCTCATTTGTGCAATTGTTAATTTTGCTCCTGAATTGTCCTCCCTTTTGCTTTGCTACCGTCCTCCTCCTTCCTCCACCCTTTTTCTTAATTAACCTCATTATCACATTCGCTTCCATGTAATTGGGCTCGTAGCCCGTGTGCACTTGCGATTTCAAATAAAAACACACATACATACATACTCGTCCATCCTCGGCCATGTGCTGAGGATGAGTGAGCAGTCACCCCCTTGCCTTACGATGTCTTGCAATTTTCAAGCGGGGTCACGTGGACGAAGGGGCCGTCCCGCGGCTACTCTCCCTACCACCACCATGAAGGACCTGACAGGGCACGACATCCCTTTGAAGAATGCCAGCGACCTAGAAGGAGCACGAGCATTTGCTGCAGACAAGTCGAAATGGAGATCAGACATTGTTTATGGATGAGTTTTTGTTGACTGGAGACAGAAGCTTAATTTCAGTTTATTCCCTTGCATTGTTCTCTGTCCTTTGCACACGTGCTGTGGTATTATTATTATGCGTGCTGTGGTATTATTGTGCGTACTGTGGTATTATTATTATGCATACTTGTATTATACATACTCGTCGGTGGCGACACGTGCAGTACCTGATAAAGAACAGCTGGCAAAGGTGGATGAAGGAACTCGTGCCAGCTCTGAATTCCAGACAGCAGTGGCGGACACAACAGAAGAATACGAAGATTGGCGATGCTGTCGTTGTTGTCAGTTCAGCCACGCCACGCGGCCAGTGGCCCATCGGTCGCATTGTGGAGGTCATGCCAGGATCGGATGGCAATGTTAGAGTTGTGCGTGTCCAAGTGGGCTCCAAAGTCTTCACCCGACCTATCACGAGAGTTTGCCCGATCGTAGAGGAAGAATCACTGTAATCACTGTAATGACTGAAATGTTTTGCTGAGTGCTAGTAGTAGTGGTAGTAGTAGTAGTAGATTATACAATCTCACAGCACAATGTCATTGCTTGTCGCAACAACAACTTACAGTATGTTCAGTATCATAAAAGCAGCGTAGAGGTTGATTAACGGCGGGTTAATCAAAGAAGGGGAGGATGTTTAGAAGTATACAGTACTTCCTACATTTACGATTTTTCTTCCATGATCCTTGCATGGCGCCACTACACACTGGAGAGTACTTATACCACCACTAATTATCAGTAGTCTTCATTGTTTCCATAGTACAATACTTGTGCCGCTATGCTTCATTTGCAAGAGGTCTTTGTGCAGTTGTATGGACTTATCTTCACTGCAATATCAGTTTCATGCTCCAATGCTTCCTTTGTAGCACTGAGGTGTGCTGCGATTAATCAATGGCATTTCCAGCTTGCTTGCTACACTATCACATACTCTCTTTAGCTGTTTTGCTGCGTGCTGCTTGTTTCCTACAATAGACACCAGCTGAAGCTTCCTAGCTGGCCCCCTTGCTAGAGCCCTTGTTAGATTCTGTATAAGTTCTCTAGTTTGTATCTCATACGTTGTTGATTGAGTAGAGGCCTTGCTAGAGAACAGTTAGGTATTGCTCTATGGTCATCGCTAGTTTTGTTTAGAGTTCAAACAGCTCAGATCTCTGTGTGAAGACTGTGTGTGAGAACGGGGTATTTGTGAAAGGGTCTGGCTTGAGCCTTCCGAACACTGATCAATGGTGGTAAGTGGCGTAGTGTGTACAACTGAGCTGCAGCTGCTGTCATGCGGTAGGAAACCTGCTTAAATACTGCTTCTACACACTGCCATCAGTAAAAGATATATCCAGGATGTTGTAAGCAACTGAATCCGGTTTTGAGCTGCTCACTCCTGCTCTCATGTACTCTATCCCAAATACATGTCTGACCGAGTAGTCCGGACAACACCATAGCTTGGTCGTAGAGTATTGCAGGCCATGAACGAGGGTCCCTTGTCTGATTCCTTCTGGCTACATTCAATGTGTTCTTCAGCCTCTACCTGTCTTAGCTCACTCAGCCTTGTAATATAGTTGAGAGGCGGTGATTTCAGATGGGTTAGGAAATTATCACCCACTACCTACCCCCACCCCTCCCTTCACCCCTCCCCCCCCCCCCCCTCTCTCCCATCACCCCTGCCCCCCCCCCCCTCTCTTCACCTCCCCGCACCACACAATAATTCAGAAGAGGTCAGTGGTCATTTGTGAGTGAGGCTGATTTCAGGTCCACTGGTCAGTGTACGGCAATTTCGCTTGATAATCTTTGCTATCATATTGGTATCCATAGTTCAACAATAATGACAACTTGCTGTAGCCGTCGGCATCCGTTTAATCATATTCTACTCTATTCTCTATTTTGCAGGTGCACGCTTGTGTGTGTGTATGTGTTTGTATGCGTGTGTGTGTGGGTGTGTTTGTATGCGTGTGTGTGTGTTGTGTGTGTTTGCGTGTGTGTGTGTGTTTGTATGCGTGTGTGTGTATGTATGCGTGTGCGTGTCTATGTGTATGTATGGGTGTGCCTGTGTTTGTTTGTGGCCTTAGCTACGTTTTAGGTTGGAAGTGGAGGTCTGATTCCCGGTGCAGCCATGGGTTACAATGACACAATGGTTTAGATTGGCCCCATTTTATCATCATTGCAGGTAAAATGCACTGATGGGTCTGGAGAGAGAATGAGTGTAGGAATGAGTGATTGAGTGAGTGGGTGAGTGATTGAGTGAGTGAGTGAGTGAGTGAGCACGTGAGCTGGTGATGCTTGTGCAGATGATTGTGATGATGGTGATGACTGTAGTGTTGGTGCTACTGGCAACTCTGGTGGTCGTGCTTGTGCGGATGGCAATGGATGTACGTGTGCTGGTGGTATCGATGGTATCAGTGGTGATACTGGAGTACCGGTGCTGGCCTTGGTGATATGTGCAGCACTGGATCCAGTATTGACACAGAGCAGTTCTTGTGTGGTGTCTGTATAGTGATTTGTCTGTGTGTTTGATGGGTTGGATGGCGTGTTGTTGAGTGTTTATGACAGTGTCTGTATACTAGTGTTGATAGCCTGCATTCAAGCTAGTGTAGTACCTGGTAATGAGCCGTCCCGGACATGTTTTCAAACCCAATACGCGTGAGTTAGAGAACGCCACGACCAGAGCATGTTCTAACCACTGCGTACCAATGTGATGAAATGTTGTCCCGGGTTTCATATGATTGTAATGATATGGTTATAGCCAGTCGCAAAGGTCTCTGACCTCGCCTGCAATTTATCTGCCGTCCCTAGAGAAATAGTTCTGACGGAAGCACCTGTGTGACATCTCCCTTGACAGCGATTATTCACCGCACACACACACACGCACAGTTAGTGGGAACGTTGCAGTGAAGAGTCCTGCTTGATCATGGCATCCATACCTGTCAACCGTTTGCAAAGCTGAGATGGTGACAATAGCATACCTACATGTATGCACATACATATTATGTACGTGTAGTTGTGAGGCGTGCAGCAAATACACTGTTGGGTGAGAATTGCCACCCTCGATATCGGGACGGGGGTCCTGGCCAAAATCGGGATGGTTAGCAGGTATGATATCCTGTTCAGCGTTCGTACCAACAAGACTCTTGCATTCCTGCATTTCTTTCTAAAACTACCCTGAAATTCAAAACTCTCTCAAAAACAATATTATGATATTTGCGGAAAGGGTATATATTTCTGTGTTCGTATTTTGACATAAGAGAAAAGTGGACCATTTCACAGAGGGACAGAACTGTGCGTAATGGGGGTAACGTTTTGAAGACAGCCATGATAGGTTCTGTCCCTCTGTGCAATTGTCCTGTCACTTTTCCCTTGTGTACTTATTTCTGTCGAAATTAAGTGCCAGTTTGTCGTCGTTAACTACTTCTTAATTATGCATGAGGACACATTTTTGTCTATATTATGTATATCTTCTTCTCTGTCTGTTCGTCGGTCG